TCACCAGAGGGTCTCTGCAGTAAAAATTAGTTTCATTAGTCTGAACAATTCAACTGATGCATTCCAGCATCTTGCTGATGAAGGCCAGAAACCTTCCTCTGCTCACACACAGCAAAATCGTGGTAAAGATGAGTCCAGCAAGTGGTAGTGGCAGCATATGGGAAGTCCTTTTCTGTCATAAAGTTCTTCCTATAATATTTTGGAAGTCATGTGGAAGAGAAAGAGCAATAGAGGAAGGTCTAACATCTCCACCAATAACAAAGCAGAGGGTTTGGAGATGGAGCGGGGGAAACATGGGGCTGTGTGAACACATTGTGCCACTGCAGTGAAGCCTTGCTGCTGAGCAGCACAGGGTTCCATGGTTTCATCCAGTCCAGAGGCCTTGCAGAGACACAGACCAGCTGAGGAAGGGTTCAGCCTGGGAGAAGGGCTTTTGTGCACCAGAACAGATGGTGCTTTCCTCATGTCTGGGATTGTGCTCTTGCCTTCTGGCAAGGGGGCAGGGGGTGGTAGAAACGCCCGCATGGAAGGAGGTGAGCTTGAATTCATTGAAGCAATAGCCATCTGAGCCTCGGCAGGGCAGGTATTTATTTAAAGGCAGCTGTCAGAGATATTTATCTCCCCTTTCCAACAGATGTTCCTGTCACTTCCACTCCGGTCACCGCGTCCTACCACGGCTGCATGACCCTCAAACTGAGCAACACGGCACTGGACTTAGATGAGGCTCTGTACAAGCACAGTGACATCACCTCACATTCCTGTCCTCCAGTCCAGGAGGGTCAGTAGGTACCACTGCAATGCGAAAGTTTTATACTCAGAAACTTTCAGTGCTTTTCTTTTTTTAAAATATATAAATTATTCAGACCTACCGCACTGCGTGTATAGTTTCTCTTAAACACTGAAGTTATGTAGAAGCTACTGATCCTTTTGTCAGATTGATTATTGAAATACTCTTTGCTTTGAGGTTTAAAAGTTGTAATATATTTGTAAATAGTTCAGAAGACTAATATTAAATACGTCAAAAGTACAGAATGTACTGAAAGTGAATACTATCTTTAGACTGTAAGAGACAGTTTCATCTATAATGTGGAAAACCTGGTAACATATGAGTGTGGACTGGAAGAAAAATAATAATTCTGTATTATTTTTATTACCAAACACTGCTTTCTGATTTGCAAAATATGAGAGAATAAAATATTTACATACAAGTTTTTAATTTACTTGTACTAAGGTTATTCTGTATTGGAAGGGCTGCTTTTTTTTTTTTTTGGGGAGGTTGAGGGTTGGGGGTTTATATGCTTTCATCAGTATTTCATATCTTCTTAGCTGAAGAGCAAATGGTGGCTGCTATTCTAACTGCTAGAGCTTCTCTTTCTGGGTACCACAAAAAAAAGACCCAGTTGTGACCTTTAGAAAAACTCTTGGTCAACAGAAAATGGAAAATGAAGTTGGGTCAGCAGGAAACATTTAAAAGAAAAGATTCAATAAGTTCAAAGCCGTACAGATTTTTTGTCAATAGCTGCTGGAGTAAATGATGAGGTGTTGGGAATTGGAGAATATTATCTGGTGATGACATATTTTTGCTGCTGCATTTTTATGTTGGCTCATTCACTGTGAGCCTAGTGGCAGCAAAGAGGCTTGAGCTGTGAGAGTTAGCCAGGCTGAACAACATGAGGTGAGATTATCCATGGGGTTTATGCAGGAAAAGTTTTAGAGACATAAAGTGTGTTCAACTTTTCAGCTATCCTTCTTTGCCTAGCTAGTCTTGAGTCACTTAAATCTTGTTTTATTTGGTCTTTGCCTTGCATCAAATTAAGAAACTGAGTAATATTGGTATATGCTGTGGTGCAAAATCCAAATACTGAGTGGGTAAGGTTACAGGATTAGCATGAAAAAAGTCTAATTCTACAAGGTCTTTTATAAATTATTCTTGGTCAGTCATGTTATGTTTTCCCTAAGCAGATAAGGAGATGACGTATTAGTCTAATAATCCTCATGTGTGGCAACATCTGTGACCAAACTGTGAAGATAAACTGTCCCAGAAGAAAAGAGTAAAGAAGGGGAAGACTATTTCAAGCCTATTTTCTGGCCAAGATCTCTGTTTTATTTAGCAGAGAAGAGGAAGGTACTCTGTTAGCCATTAGACAAGGCATCACAGCATCTTATCATGAGCGAATCAATCAGCAGCAATACAGGAGGGCAGAAAAGAACAGAACTTTATCACTTTCAAGCAACCTACTCATTTATACTTTGAGAAGGACCTACCGTCAGGTCTGAGCAGATAGAAGTTTGAAAGGAAATTTCCCACTAGACAGTAATAACTTACTGGCAGACTGTGCATGGATAGGAAAACCCAGGAGTTCCATGTTTTTGCTTTTTTTTAGTTGAGCAAGGGAAACCACATTGTTCCTGAAAGTACTTCATGTTACTGCTGATGACTCTGAATCAATTTGTGATCCAGTATGGAGCTGTAGTTTGGGTTTGTGCTGGAAACACTGTTGATAACTCTAGGATGTTTTAGCCATTGCTGAGGAGGGCTTGTGCAGTGTCAAGACCTTTTCTGTTTCTCACCCCAGCACTGAGGGGGCTGGGGGTGCACAAGGAGTTGGGAGGGGACAAAGCCAAACAGCTGATCCCAAGTGACCAGAGGGATATCCCACACCATATGGCCTCATGATCAGCACTTAAAGCTGGGGGACAAAAGGGGAAGGGGAGGGACACTTGGAGTGATGGTCTTTGTCTTCCCAAGTCAATGTTTCACATGACGTTGCCCAGATTTCCTGGAGATGTCGGAGCACCTGCCTGCTCATGGGAAGTGGTGGATTAATTCCTTGTTCTGCTTTGCTGGTGTGTGTGGCTTTTGCTTTACCTAGTAAACTGTCTCTATCTCAGGCCATGAGTTTTCTCTCTTTTACCCCTCTGATTCTCTCCCCAGTCCCAGCAAGAGAGAATGAGTGAGCGGCTGCCTGGGGCTGTGCTGCTGGCTGGGGTTCAACCACAAAAATCTCACATCTTTTAAACTTGGAGTAACTCCACTGAAAAAAAATACAGACTCAGAAGACACCTATTTTTAAACCAAGAAGATGAAACAAGACCTGCTTTACTTTGTTATTTTCAAATGAAACAATCTAGCAAAATAGTTTCATGTCTGGAATTTTGATAAAATCTCTGTGGTAGTCCCCAGAAAACTTCCATGTGGCATAAATGAATCACAAACGTGTCTGACATTTGTGTTAATGTAAGTGACACTATTTATGAGGCCAGAATTATTTTGGGTCCAGGAAATGGGAATTCTGTGGTACATTATGGTACTCTGCAGTTTCATACTAAATGTCATGTGTACAAGAGCATTTAATATTCTAATTCAGAGCAGAAATTGCTCCTGAACTTTGCATATGTGTGCATGTATATGAAGATATTTTGCAGAGATCACAATGCACTCAAAAAGTGGTTTAAAAGAGAAACTCAGAGTTTGTCCGTTTGGAGAATGACAGAAGAGGCAGGGGTGGATGGGGGCGGGGCGGACAGGCAGGGTGTAAAGGTGAATTTTTTTAATACCATGAAGAAAGATTTGGAGGAAGAGCAATAAGCATTTCTTCATTCTTTCTCAGTCACTTGCTTCAACTCAAGAGAGACATTGCTTTCATCCTTGTTCAGGTAGTCTACGTGTTCAACCCAAAGGGATGAAGTCTGTTTTAGACTTTGAGTCCTCAAATTGAACCCAGGTGATTCCCCTAGTAGTATTCATAGCAAGTAAAAAGAAGCAAATGTATAGCTTCACTTATTTCATAATCAGAGTGACTGTGCTTTTCACAGCATGTATTTGCACAAGAACTAAGCATTTTGGATGCATTAAATTAATGTTTAAAAACCCCAAATGGTCTCTTTTCTGGCTTCTGTTTTTCTCAGCCATGTTCATATAACTCACCTTGTCAACAATACACGTAAGGCATCTCATCACTGATCACTGGCCTAAAACTTTGCATTTCAGAAAAACCTTAATTGAACAAAAGGTGGCTTTTATGGTCCATATAAATGATCTCTCTTCTTACGTGTATCAGTACTGAATCTGCTTTTTATACATAGAGGTAAAACACATGAATTAACAGATATTTCTTGGAAGTTGCAAAGTATTATGCAAAAGGATGATCACTCTTTTTTTTCTATTTTAAGCAGGTCTAATGGTGTCACTTCCTTTCAGAGGAAACTGTCACGTAAGCTGGTTTTATTTAGTTTTTTTTAATATCTTCATAATATAGAGCAGCTGCTTAAAATGTTAATGAGAAATACCTTCCATTCCCTGGTTTACTCTTTGGCATTTCAGGACATTTCTAGAGCTTCATTGCTGTCTAGACTGTAAAACCTATGGAACAAGCAGCACCAACACCCTTCCTGCAGGAGCAAAATGCAGTGAAGAGATGCATTTTAGATAGGTTTTCATGCTGGTTGTGAGTACCCCTGTCCCAAAATATGTCAGGTGTGTGCCAAAAGGAATCCCACTGGTGCACAGTGAGGAGGCAGCGTGCAGACAACAGGGACATGGCTTTTTTCCTGTCGGTGGCACTGACAACAGTATTGTTGCTTAGCCTTTGGAGAAAATAAATAAATTTAAAAATTAATTAGGTCCCTTCATTCACTCTGTTTCAGTCATTGTGAAATACCTGCATTAGGTCTTGGATTAACTTAAAAATAAATAACAGGCATCTAACCTAAAATGGTTTTGGTTGTTGTGGTCTTTTGACTAGAAAGAAATGAATTTGAACACTAAAGTGTAGCCTAAAATACACATCTGGGAATGGTATTTTTAGTGCATTAACATGACATCTTACTATTCAGACTAGACTGGCACCAAGTTCAGCTAAAACAGTCCCAACAGTCCCTTTCTATCTGAAAGCTGAAAAGGGAAACTATTTGGTAAGGTACTTCCTCTTCTTGTGTTTTCCTTTCCTTCCAAATACACCCAGCCTTAGGTATAGTATAAATATACACAGTGAACTTTATTGTAAAATAATTGCCACACTTTATTGGTACAACACTTTCACTAGAAGAGTTATTAAACACTACAAGCAAACAAACTCTTGCTACCCAAAATTATTGACTCTGGGAGCTCCCAGCTACCCACTCAGACAACACAGGCTGAAACCCCTCAATATTGGTTCATGAAAGCAGAACACATATCTGGAGTGTTTTCTTCATTTTTCCTCTTCAAGAAAATCTATTCTGCAGCGGACTAAGAGGGAAACATCTCATGCTTATCATAGCCAGAAAGTTCTGCTACATCTGACTGCAGGCATACTGAGTGGTGACGTGCCTGCCCTTACAGCTCCAGGGCTCTGCCCTGCTCACAGGGAGATGTGGATAAACGCAGAGTGGCAGTAACACATTCTGTGCTGGGCTCCTTTGGGAAGTCTAGTGCCTGCACAGCACAGTTTCCAGAGGTTTCTTTAAAACAAAATAAAAGCCTACCAGCTACTAAAATAAATTCTTTGTTCTATGGTGCATATGGTGGAGGCTTTTCTCCAGGCAAGCAGTAAGTTGGTGTATAGAGGGCTGGAGCATTTGGGGGAAGACCATAGCTGGAGCTGGACTGAGATGGAGGCTGAGTTTCTTCTGATAAAGAAATGTCAGTAGATGATGTTCCTGGAAAATTGCTGGCAGGCTGTATCAGACAAAGAAAAATAACTTATTCAGTAAAGGATTACAACCCCATTGCAGCTTTGTGTTGTTTGCCATGTGCTACATAATAAGCCCCATCATTAAATTTCTCATGCTTTGCATGTTAACTTTAGTTCTAAAGCACCTGCTTAAATGTAGCAATGATGGTGTCTAGTGAAACAAGAGATTCCATCTGTAACCCAAGTCATTTTTAATAGATACTGTGCAGACAGCTAGGCAATACAACAGAACAGGAATTTCTGCAGGAAAAGATGCTTGGCTTCCTGGGTGAGGCACAGCACCTGACTTACTGATTAGATTACATGTAGCTGTTCCTTTCCTGGCCTCACTGTGAAATTTAAATTACCCAGTTGTAATTAATCCCAGTTATAATACTCGCATAAATATTTACCAAATGCAAATTCCTCTTAAGAGAAAATTTTATAGGTAGGCACATGTCTCCCTCTTTGGTAGTCAGGTATAATGGGGCTTTGCCTGAAAAAGGCACAATAAACAAATAGAGTTTGGGAAGTAGCCCCTCTTCAGGAACAAGCAGGGTTCATTAAAATAACAGAATGCATGTAGGGAATAATATTCAGGATAAAATCCTACTACTGCTTTAAACAAAGTTTTGTCACTGATTTCAAGCGGGTGAGGATTTTACTCCTCCTCTCATATGCCAGCACATGCCAGTCTATGGGCTTCAGCTGAAGACTTAGACTCAGCTCCCCTCAGGTTGAGACTTCAAAATGAACTTAAAGTGCCTGGAATTTAAAAACAAGGTAAAGTAATCATGGATCTTTTTCAAGGGAAATTAAAAATCTGAGCAAGTGATGTTCCCTGATGCTAAAAAAATTAATATCCACAATCTAGAAGGCCAGGGCCAGGGCTGGCCCTTGGATAATGGCATCTCAGAGTTGTCTAGGACTGGCAGACCCCATGCCAAGGTGTTTGCTTCCTTATGGGGCTCCATGTGAGCAGGGGCTGCTGCCCTGGGTCAAACCCTCCTGGCAAGGAGGATGTTGTCCATTCTCCCTTAGTGAGTAAGAATGGGAACATCCCAACAGGAAGGCTTGCTTATGCCCTTTAACCCTCTGAGGCAGTGCAGGTGCACTGACAGACTTGCTAGATACACCACCTCCAAATGCAGGTGTTGTGGTTTTGACTTGGCTTGGGGTTTTATTTATTTCAGAGTTGTTGCTTCCCTCCCCTCTCAGTCTGCAGCCACTGCTTCCATGTTTGCCTGGAATTGTTTCTGCAGTGAGTTCTCTGGCAGGAATAACTGGCAAAACCCATAACTGCTGTCATCACCACCAATCCCTGCCTAGCTAATCGGAACTCTTACCTGCCCAGTTGGCTGGCCTGTCACCAAGACTAGTTGTGGCTGAACTTTACCAGTAAGGGGTGTATTATTTTGTTGGCACATGTCACAGTAAACAAAAGAAATGCTGCTTACATCCTTTCAAAATACATTCCTGCTATCACTATTTCTTTTTGCCATATGACTGATTTCTTTTATAGACTTTGCCTCTCTGGCAAGCATTTATTCAGTGAGATACTGGATTCAGGACCAGGAATGAATAGCATGTATCTTTAACCTGAGATAATTCACTGGTGTCTCTAAAGGGTAGACCAGTTCAGTCAGAGCCTTCTACTCTGTGGACAGCTAAAACTTAATTCAGTTTCCCACATCTAAGTGTGCAGCGCTTTGGGATGCCATGGGATATCTCAGATGTTCACACAGATGTGACCTGGGGACAATGGGACCTTAACATGGACACTCTCGGACTAGCAGCAAGGGACAGGTGGCTACTTGATCTCATTATCAGGCAGTACTAGATCCCTACATGCCAACAGCCCCTGTGTTCAGTCAGATAATCCCAGACTCAGACTGGGATTAAGGACTACAACCATCTGAGCAGGGCTTGTGGAGGTCTGAATCCAGCAGTTTGAAGCACTTAGATGAAACATGAAGACCTCACACCTCCAGCCCCATGGATTCAGCCCACAGCTCTCAAGCAATGGAAGCAGATGACAGCTAAGCCTCTGGCTGTTCCTAATCATTCCTGCTTCCACCATTCACGATTTGTACCTTTGAATAAGTTTATGTGATTTTTTTAAAATTCATATACTGATGCAGAAATTACTTCTCTCCAAACTGCAACATAATGAGTTCATTCATAGAGGGAGGAGACTTGCTTTTACTTTTTTTTCCCCCAGGACTAGAGTTAAGCTTTCCCATTGTTTCTTAGTGACCATCCCAGTGGATCCCAGTGTTTCTTACTAACCTACCCTAATTTGAGTACAGCTGGCAGGGTCTGCCTCAATGTTATGAAGGGGAAGGAAGGTAAGTGAACACACTTATTTGAAAAAAGTAGAAATCTAGGGAAATAACAGTGTTTATTTTGGAGTGCAGATAAGAATTTGGGGGAAATGCAATGTATTTCTGTTTCTCAGTGGACATAGGACTGAACAGTCACAATCGTTATAGATGGATAATGAGATGATTGGCTCTCACAATCAAGGGATGAATATTGTATGAATATTAAGAGAAGCTTTATTGATATATAGTTATTTTATTGTAGTTTAGATGTCCTCTGTTCTCCTCACAGTTCCCTTTTCCCCTCCTCTGTATTGTTGCTATCAGACAGCCTGGGTTGTCTAGGACATGTAGAAAGAAGGTGTGCACATGTGCCCCTTCCATGGGGCAGGTGGGAATGGAAAAGCTTCTTGCTAAGGGGGCATGGCATGGCAACACCTGACCTCCAAATAAGTTACAAGAAAGTAATCTCCACTGATAAATGGCAAAGGAGAGCTGACTGACCAGCTTTAGGAGGGGCCAGGGTTGGCTGATGCAACCCCTAGGAGTATAACAGACTAAGCATCCATCTGGAAGATGAACTGGCCATGTGGTAGGCAGCCATGAGGGCAGTTCCCAGCACTCAAATTTTTCCTTATTTAGTCCTTTTGTTGTACTTTTGTTAAGGTTTAATATATCTTTTAAAATTTTTAATGTGAGCGGTCATTTCTCACACAATGGATCCCCATGGCTACTTACATTAAACTTTTCAGCTTAATTTCATGTGTTTTTCTACTCTCTCTACTCCTGGCTACACTTGCCTCATCAGCAGGTAAGAGTTCAAAGGGTAATCAGAGAAATCCTGAGGTCTGAGAACAGACTAGAAGACCAGGCACAGACTAAGTCATCCCACAGACTTAACCTTAAGACCTACCCTGCAGAGGTAGGTCTTAGCTGGAGCTGGGATCCAGCTAAGACCTTTCTCTGCAGAGTTTGTACTGAGTAGCAGCTAGTGGTTTTGTGATGGTGTGAGAAGGGTGTGTGTTTGCACTGTACCTGAAGAGGCAGTGGGTAGGACGGATAGGTAGAAATTGTGGCTGCGGAAGGGCAGAACCCAGCGTAGGTCAGGATCTGCTGGGCAGGATTGTACAGGATCTGAGGAGGAGGTGCAGCACTGAAAGCGATTTGTGACAGAGGCACCTGTTGAGCACACAAGACAACAATTTATCACTACAATGTAGAGGGCTGGAGCAGGAGCTGCTCCTAACACAAGCAACAAGACAATTTAATAACTTTCTATTTTCCAACACAATACCAGTAGTACAAAAAAACAGCAGACAGAATGAGACAAGGGTGTATCCGGAATGAATTTTCTGAGTGAAAATACACAGCTATTTTAATCTTCTTCTCTTGGAAAAGGGCTGCTGGTGCTACCCTAGCAACAGTTATAGAAGCACTGGCAGGACTCCAGATCCAACATACAGCTTTGGCTGCCTCTTCTTATTCATCCAGCACCAAACACCAAGTCCTTCACCATTTGCTGCACACTCCTTCCAGTAGAACTATCTGATGCCCTCAGGTCTTTTTTCTGCTTTCCTACACAGATTTACCTAGATCTCCCTTTCCAGACCAGTTGGTTCTCTTTCACAGCTCACTCTTACTTGGGAAATGGAGTTTCCTGCTGGCTCTCCAGCATCGCTCTCAATGCGCTTACTTCATTCCTACTGCAGAAAATCCTTCTCTCATGGCTTTATTGGCATGTCTTTTAATTACAATGCAAAATGAACTTTGCATGAAGAAGTAATAGTTAATATTAAACCAACTGAAAAATTTTGGTCAGGAAGAAAGATCAAAAGCTGAATGTGAAAGAGAGTTTGTGTTAAACCCCAAAACCCTGTGCTGTATAACAATTTGTGAAGGACAGCAGAGCAACAGAGCTTTGTGAAATATTTTCATGAGATAAATCCAGTGATTTCTTTTATTTCTTTGTTTTTGTTAGCAGATTCCTCCACATGAGAGCATGGAATTTTCTTTTCACTGAAATAATAAAATATGGTAGGTGCCAGACAAATGCTGAAAGCAGCAGCCAGGGTTTTATTTTGTGTTGGTTGGTTTTTTTTAGGCTTTGTTGTTTTTATTTTTTGTTTGTTTGGTTTTTGTCTTGTTTTGGTTTGTTTGTTTGGGTTTTTTTTTTTTTTTTACTTCCTTTCAAATTTATCAGTGGCAGATATAAACCACTGCACCCTCTGGAGACAGTGTGAGATCTCTCTGTGATTAAGAAAGAGATAAATTAATTGTTTGCACATGGAAAACATCATCTAGGTCACTGATGTACCACCTGGTTACTGAAAAATCTAGGCCTTAGTTTCCTGGGGAAATCTGGCAGTTCAGGAGCTGGCATGGAGAAGGCTGGGATCAAAGGCAGAGAGCTTATTTCACAGGAGAAGGCAAGTCTCTCATCTTCAAGGCACCCTCCTCAAAACACTCTCATCTGCAAGGTCCCCATCTTTCTACTTGCCCTGCTGGGTGGCTATGGTGGGGAAAAGACACTGCCTCAGGAGTAGGGAGGAGCAGGTAGCCTGCTTGCTTCAGACCCAAAGGTTTGGGGCCAATGCACAGCCCCAGAGTGCACGCTTCCTCCCTCAGAGGAGGGATAAAATCAGATCCTTCTGACATAAGTGAGTAAAGAAACTTTACCCACAGATGTGAAATATAGATGCCTGTTCTGCATTTGTCACCAACTTTCTGGTGTGGGTCTCTTTGGGTGCTGCTGTTTGACCCCCTTTGGCTTCTTCTCTTAGGAACCTCTCAGTCTTCTCACATTCCATCCACCCACAAAGCAATGCTCTCTAACTGTTAAGGATGAACATCTCAACAGTCTAGTAGACAAATTTGGGGGGTCATCCATGCCACATCTACTAATTCAAAGCACCTTATTATCATGCTATCTGATCTCAGCCCAGGACTAGCAACAATTTGTGGCTACTGAAGCACTGAAGCTGGTTGGATGCTTTTATCAAGTACTCCAGTAATTACTCTGTGTTAAATTACTCACCTAAAATACACGGGTAGGTTGAGACATTCTAAACTGCACCAACACCCAAGTCAAAGAGATAAGGAGCTATGAACTAGCCAGGGAGTGCTAACAGTGCCAGCTCACTGGCCTCACACAGAACTGCCAGAGCATTTATGTCGGACCTCCAGCTTCTTTTCACATCAGACTGCACCTGTAGTTGCATGAGTGCTGACACATAAACCCATGGTAAGTAGCTCAGTAGTTAAGGGTTTTTTTTGCTTTCCTTTTTAGAGCAGGGTGACGGAAGAGGAGAGAGGATAAAGCATCGCTATTTAATCTGTTCAGATTACTTTAAGGACTGCAAGAAGGATACTAATTAAAACAAATTTTAAAAGGCATCCCCTTCCCATCCCCCCCATCCTCCCCTCAGGCCGCTCAGTAGACTAATGCAGCCCTAAACTCAGGGCAGGCAGATTCCTTGGCAAGGTGTGTCAGAAAAACATCCAGAAGTCATCAAATGAACACTGGGACAGGGAAGAGAGTTTCAAGATTAACTCATCATCAACAAGTGAAATTTTCTATGTAACTCTTTACCTGCAGCTTCTGTAAGAAATAATCGCAGTGTGTTGTCATTTTGGGTACTTTGGCTACATCTATTGATGTAATTTCTTGATCTGCTTTTTTGTTAGAGGTGACTTTAAAGTAACTACCTCCATGTCCTATATCCAAGCATGCTGTAGATCTTAAAAGGAGATCAGGGGAGTGTGCCAGGTTCTGCAGGGAATTTGTCACAAGAAAGAAAAGCTGAAATAACCAAAACAACACTTTTTTTTCTGTCCAGGAAATATGATGGGTTTAAAGGAAAGGGCACTGTTTTGCAAACTCTCCCCTTTGTAACATGGTTTGGTTGCCAGCATTCCCCAGAGATAAACATAATGTTTTTTGTTTGACTAGTCAGCCTGGCCTTGTGTTTTCTGGAAGTCAATCCCAAAGCAATGCTGTGAGGCATTTCAGGGGGCTTTGCTGTTCTCCCTGCAAAATGCCAGTGAGCATTTATGTGAGAAGGTGACATCTTAAAGCAAAGTAAATAGTTCTCTCACATATTTTAAAGGGTTGTTTTTTTTTTTCTCTTTTTATTTCAATTACATGCCCCTTTCTTTTCCTCTTCTGCTTGATGTTTTCTTGGCCCGTGTCTTCCCCCAAGAGTTGCTCCTTTTGTAAAGGAAAGGGAGCAGCAGATTAGCAAATTATTTCTGGTACTATCTCAAAAGAACCCTGAGAAAGCCCAGGCAGGAGCAGGAACGGTCATTGCATTTTAGATTGCTGCTTAGTAAGACTTTCACAAGCACAGCTGAGATGACTGACACAAACTCATCTTTCTCTTGAACTGTGACATCCTTTTCCTGCTCACTCTCAGTGGAGACACTGAACAGCTTATTCAGATGAGGTTTTTAGTTGGAGCCCTGACAGACTCACTCCAGCCATGCTTGGGGTCAAGATGCACATCCACTGCTGCTGTGATTTCCCTCCATGGTTCTATGCCACTCAGTCAGAGGACCCAGACCATGACCCAGGCTCTGCCTCCCAGCAAGGGAATGTGCCAGATCATGGAGACTGCAGTTCTCTCAGGAACATCACGAGCAGTGCAGTGATGGCCCTGCAAAGCACAGGGCTGTATCAAAGCATCAGCCCAAATCTCATGTAGGTTTGAGCAAGACAGGTTAGGTGGACTCAGGCTGGCTCTCTGCTCTTGCTGCTCTCAGCAAGAAAACTGCTTGTACTCCCTTTGGGCAGCTGCAACTCTTCAGTGGCTGGTTGCAATCTGTTACCAATTCCTTGCAGGAATCCCCTACATAAAGGGGATCTTGGCTGCACATTTCTTACACTTGATAGCTCAGGGCACTTGTCTGGCTTAAGCCGGACAGAGGAATATTTCCAGGAAATGTTGCAACTCTTAACAAAGGTGAATTTCAAACAATTCCTATGGCCCTGCTCTATTTTAAACATGGTTTTAAGCACCCAACAGGTTGTAGATAGCCTGGGCGTGCTTCCTAAGGAATGCTGGGTGGTCAGAGTTGTCAGGCCTGATGGCTTCGGGTCTGACTGGGTCTTTGGCTCTGACTGGGTGCCAGTTCTGAGCAGCCCCTTCCTGCCAGTCTGCTCCCCCTCCTGTCCTGAGGTACATCTCAGCTATCTCTCTTGCCTTCTCTTCCCTGCTCTCTCTCTTTTTTTCATTTTATCCATTTTTCTATTCAGTTTTGTCCTCTGCAAGAGTGACCAGACACATCATGGATCTAAGATGACCCGACTGCTATCACACCTCCCTTTGGTTCCTGCATTTCACCTCCATCTCCATGCCTCTGCCCATTTAGTTCTACTTCTCTCCTAAGAGCCTAGTGAATCAAGGTCCCCTTGCTTGGTCTTTAGGCATTGCTTCAGCAAACAGGGCCACTGACAGTGATAATCCCAGGAAGAGCAACTGCACCTTTTAACGTGTCAGTAAATCCAGGCAAATGAGGGACATTACTGGAGAATCCCTCTCACCACACGGTCTCTTGTGCACATCAGTGCAGCAGGTAGTGTGGCACAGGGAGCAGTTAGAAAGTGACATTCCTTTGTGACACAAAAGAGGATGTTGAAGTGTCCCAAGCACAAAACTGTTTAAATAAAAATTTAACTGGTACTTCAAAATTCATCTCCATTCTTAGGGAAAAGAACTACACAAGGCTGAGCAGTCACACATAGGACTTGACTTTTACATGTTAGCTACAAACTAGCATCCTCAGACTGTGTGCTGGCCCACACATTCAGTGAGGAATTAGAAGAGAAAAAAATATGCCACTAAGTGAATTGCCAGCATTTGTTCATGCTGTTGTGGTTTTTTTTTCTTCCATTCACATATTTGACTGGGCTTGACCCACTTAGCTCTGAACAGCTGGCAACAGCTTTGCCTAAAGGTATAAATCCATGAGAAAGGCTGAATTGTTAAGGGACAATGACTCAAAACATTCTCCCATTTGCTGAGACCCCAAGGTGCTCAGCTGAGGAGGTGAACTTTTGGGTGTGTAATGGCTAAACCTCTGATCTGATAAGGCACAGGGTGAATGATGGGCTGAGAGTGAGATAGGAGCTGGATCCCATGGAGATGGATTGTCATGCTAATTTGTGCTCTCCTGCACAAACCACTGGGTTGTGGACCTCCCCTCCTCCCCCCGGGGAAGTACCAGGGAATTCAGGATATTTGCCTGTGGCCTTGGCATCTTTATCTCTGCTGATGGGACATAACTGACTCAACTACTAGGATAGGCAGCTGTGTTGTCTTAGAAGGTGTCAAGGATTCCCAAAGCATCCCATAATTCACATTATTAGGTCAAGTTCCCTGCCTAGTGGGAGGTGCCTGAGCATTCCCACCTGAACCAGAGTGAATATAGACCCACTAGATGTTGTGTTCTGGGGATTTCTCTCCACCACCAGACAGATGTGGTCAGCAACCACCACTTTAACCAAGACCACGCAGCAACCAAGTCTTGTCTCTTGTGAGTGCTGAGATCCTCACCCTCCTGTCCTTTCTCTCTTTCTTTCTTTCTTTCCCCTTGTATGTGTCCTTGGGTGATGTTGCACTTCCACATTGCAATGCTTTCATGTTGTATTACTATAGATAATAACCACCAAAACAGCTTCATAGCTGCTTTCCTTTGCCACCAAGTTGTTCTATAAGAAACCCTACATCATTTATTTAAAAGCAGTGACATTCAGTGTTGTTTCATTCTAATCTTCTAATCCAAGGGAGCTATTAACAAGAACCTGGGTTACACTCTTGGTACCTTCTGTGGTGTCTCTATCAACATTCCAGACTCCCAGAACACTCAGGAAACACATTTAAGGCATCTCCTTTGTGCATTTATACTTCCTTGGTTTTGACTGATTTGATAATGCCAACAAGCAGAAAGCCCTCACATAAGGCAAAAGACTCACCATGTCTTTAAATGCCCCAAGGATGGCTGCGGTGATAATCCCCAGGAACAAGCCGATGATGTTGAGGACTGTGGAGGACCACAACAGTCTGTACAGATGGAGCACATCCTGACAGCTGCTCACGCCCAGAAATTCATAGTAGCTGGAGGACTGGTCTGAACTGAAAGAGAATGCAGGCAATGCCACTGCAGTGGGAATGGTTTTGCACACAATACAGAGCACGACAGGATCTGACTCCTTCCTACTTACTTTCCTCTTTGGTAAAGTACTACACCCATGCTCCCACCAAAAACTGCTCAGAAGAACTGGAGAAAGCCCTGCTGAAAAACTGGCTCTGCTAAGGCAGCATCAAATGTAATCCAACCCTAGTTTGGCTGATTGGTGGTGGTTACCAGCACGGACCCTTCTTTATTTTTTTTCAGTGTCTCTAAACAGAGACATAATCTTGGTATATGGAGGCTGCCCTTTCCATTTAGCTACCAGATAAAGCTTGCTTAGCTTTGCTTTTTTTCCCAGCTCACCTAGAAATCTGCTGGCATCTCAAAAATTGGGGAAGTCAAGTTGCTTAAGCATTAATTCAGTTACAGGAAGGGAGATACTGCCAGCTAGCTACATTTGTTTATGGGTCTGTGGTTCCAAATTAATGCAACACACTACAGTATAAAGATGTCTTTACATTGGGTTTGTACAATCCAGAAATCTTTGTTCATATTTCTACACCACATTGGTTATTGTAAATCAGACGTGGTGAAGTTACACCTCACTGTCTTGCCAAAAGCCAGAAATATCCTACTGCAAAATTTGAAACCACAGGTTCCTGCAGTTCTTTCCAGTACCTGCCCTAATTTGAGCCCACTAATGAGCTCCTAGGGCAGCTATTTGAATTGGAAAGATTTTTTAAATGCCAAGCCTGTTTTTCCAGTGTTAGGAAATTACCAAATTACCATCAGATTATGGTGGAGACCAGAAGTGAGCAGTTTACGTTCACTCTTCTGCTCCCCCATCCCCAGTGCATGGGGCAGCATGTGCAAGTATGTTTAGGGAAAGCTCAGATCAATCCACAACATTTCTGGGAAGAACCAAGCTAGGCACAGTAACTTCTGAAATATCCAATCAATGGCTTCAGGTCATGGTTCTGGCACTGAAGAACCACTACTGTTGAGTTTACCTGGGCCCTGCCATGAGTCCATCTTCAACTACAGCTTCAGCTGCCATTAGGCTGAGGAAATTTGATTTACAACCCTGCTGTCACATCAGTCTATTCTGTGGCTGACAACAAATCACTTTGTGGGCCGGTGCCTCCTCCTACTTCTCTCTAGCCTTCCTGTGAACTGGAATTGCTAAGTCTCCAGAGCAGTGTGACTGCTTATTTACCCTGGATTTGTCCATGCCAGTGCCATAAGATCTTGCTGTCCACTGTAGAATGTTGACAATAGCAGAACACACACATTTAATTTTATCATTGAATAATGTCACCAGCAGTGAACAGTCCCAAGTATTTCAAACAAACTCAATGTCTCAGAAAAATGGCACTGAGGATCTCCATCTGAAAGGGAAATATGCCTGATCTCTCCTTGTGGTTACTTTAAGCAACAGTTTCAATCACTTTTTTTGACAGCTCCGAATACTTTCACCCCTTTAACAGCCCTGCTCTTTTCTGTGTTGAGTTGGGCTGTTTGGTTCAGTGTTAACATGTAGGCATTAGCTGTGTACCATGGAAGGAAGCATTCTCACTATATACACACTGCATTGCAAATATGATAAAAGGTTCCAAAGTTGAGCATTCTCTACCTTTCCCACTTGTTTTGTGGCCCTCCATCGTGTCCAGATTTAACATTTCTTACATAAGCAAAAGACTCTACATCAGATTTTAATCCATTTCATAGACTTTCATTCACTTTGTGTCTCCCATCTGCATAAATCACTTCCCTCTAATCCCAAATGTCTTCTTACTTCTCTAGTTGAGATATCATTTGACTAAGAGCTACTTTTTCATGCAGAAGACTTGTGTAGAAGCTTGATTGTTCCTACCTTGTTTCTCTACACCTAAAATGTTTATGTCTGGCATCACACTAGCTAAGTCCTACAGAGGACTGAGGTTATTCAGGGCTGCTAGCATGTGAAGAAGAGGCAAAACCAAAATAAAATAGATGTAGGAAGGAAGAAAGATGAGAAACACACAAGGGGAAAGAAGGAAAAGTGACAGTGGCTGAACTGTAGAGGGTTGCAGAAGTTGCATGAGAGTGCATGGTAAGATGATATACAAGGGCAGAGATAAAGCAAGGGAGAATGGTTTTAAACAAAAACAGGGAAGATTTAGATACTAGGAAGACATTCCTCACTGTGAGGGTGGTGAGATACTGGAACAGACAGCCCAGAGAAGTTGTGGATGCCTCATTAGTGGAAGTGTTCAAGGCCAGATTGGATGAGGCTCTGAGCAGCCTGGTCCAGCCATGGCAGGAGAGTTGGAACCAGATGGTCTTGAAGGTCCCTTCCAACCCAAACCACTCTGTGATTCTATGACAGTGAGGTGTGCAAAGGGTGAGCCAAGCAGAAGACTCAGTCAATCTATTGGGGAAAATGCATTGACAGACCAACAGTGTATCTAAACTGAGTGATCAGGTTTGATATTCAAAGAAAAAGAAAATTAAATAATACCAACACTAATGAACAACTCCTGACCTACTTTGTGCTGGCATCAGGACTTCAGTTGCAGAGGAACTGGGTTTCTCAGCATTACAAGCTCCCTGCGTTACTTCTTCAGGCCCTACCATTTACAAGTAAGGTCAACCAACCAAGAATTTCTCAGAGAATTTCAGAATGCATACAGGTACTTACTTCTCACAGTTGTACAGATCACAGCAATAGCATGTGTTACTCTTCACTTTCAGCTGGCACTTGCTGTTTAAGGTATGACATGTAACCTGCCAAAAAAGCAGAAACTTACTTTTATGCTCAATGTTTCAGTGTTGTGTGAATCATCCTACTGTACTGACCACAAAAAAAAAAAAAAAAACCACACCAAAAAAAAACCCCAAAACAACCCCCAAAAACAAAACAAAAAAACCCCAAAACAACAACAAAAAGCCACCAACTTCTACAGCATTGTCAAGTTGTATTACCTGCTGTACAAGATCCTGAGATTCCAAAATTCATGACTGGAAGCCAGGAGGCCATCCCTGAGCTCACGGGAGTTTTAACCAGAACGACAGCCCCTGAGTCGGAGGGCATTTGCACCATGGAGCCCAGAGCTCCCAGGACTAGCCTGCAGCCAGGGCTGCCAGAGTTTTCAAGCACTTTGCTGCACTGCCTGGGCTATTCTGCTGAGACCCAGAGTGTGCAGCCAGGAGACTCAGATCTCTGTGACAAACTGACCATAGGTGTGGAAAGACACACTGCAGCAAACACTGAAGTGCATAAGAGAACCAGTCTGTTATAGGGGGGAAATGGCAAGGGAGCCAATTTATTTGAACAGCTTCCAATAAATGGGAACTTTCCCCTTTCAGTGAAACCCTCCTAAGAAGGAAGTAATTATGAATGATTGCAAGAACAGTCTTCAAACCCACAGATCCCTTCAGAAAAGATCCAAGCACTCCAGCAAATAAGTACCATTTATTTCAGGCTCTCAAATACAAAACTGAAAAGGTTTATTTATGTGAGGAGGAATTGCAGGGATGGACAAATATTAGAACAATAAAGGCATGTACATGTAAGACACTCTTCATCCGGACACAAAGTCTTTTAATGACTCCTTAAGTATAGTAAGCATTAATCACTTCTATTTGGCACTACAGACCAATTGAAATACTTTGTATGTAGCCCTCTTTTTTTTCTTTTTTTTTTTTTTTTTTTTTTTTTTTTTTTTTTTCCTGAGAGTTTTAGCTTATTGACTTTGAAATCCTGAAGAGCTGTCAGGTTTTAAAAGCTAACAGTCAGAAAATACATTCTTTCTGTAGCTTTTATTTGATAGGGAAAAAAAATCTCTGTAACCACTGAGAATTATTTTGTTCACAAAATGCAATTAAAATATATTATTGAATAGAAAACTCCTCATAATGAAAAGTAGAAGGAGCATGCTTAGGAATACATGCTTGCTTTTGGCAAGCTTATCAGACAGCTCTGTGTTAGCCACAAATGTGTTACTCTATGGAATAATGTCCACAAGAGATGTTAAACTAGATGTTTCTCACTTCCTACATCCTGGATCTGTGTATCATTTTAGTATGAAAACTGTCACTATTGATAAGTCTGTACTCCCCATGTGCTTTGTTTTCCCAGCAAAAAGGAAAGCCTTAAACACACACACTCAGCAACAGAGCAAGTTCATCTCACAACTGGTCTCCAGCTTTCTACACTTGTTCTTAGCAGGATTTGATCGAGCAGTGGAAGATGAGTGACAAAACTAATGTTAGAAGGAGATTAAAGTGATCCCTTGGGATTGCTTTGCTGCTCAGGACAAGGCTGTACCTGTGGTTAGTGTCTCATACAAATCAGCTCTTCTATCCCAAAATGGTAGGTTATAAAAAGACAGTCTCAGTCTAGGCTGCAATCTGGACATGGAGCTCACAGTTTGATATGGACACATCCACTTGTCAAAAGCACATCTCATCCTGAGATAGGACCTTGTTTCTTCACCATTTCTCTACTGGGTCTGACTTACTGGAGTGTAACCTAAGGGCTTTGTTGGCCTGAAGTCACATTCAGCTGCAGCTGTCAGCCTAAGCTGCAGTTCACTGCAGAAGAGGAGCATTTACTGTCACTGAGTGCATCAGCTTCATCAAGACAGTGACTGAACCATCCCACATGGCTACTTCTCAAAGCAGGCTGAAAACCAGTCCTGGAGCACTGTGTGCTGCCTCAGCCATTTTGTGGGATGCCCTATACTTATGCATTCAGTGGATCTTCCGTCTTTAGTTTTGACCTCCTGTATGCAGTGAAAATGGCCCAGGACACGCAGAGTAAAAATACCCTTTGTTACACATGCATGATTGGGATAGGAGGGCTTTATAAGATGGAATGGACTGCTAAAAAGTGGTTTGTTCTGATGCATGGTTTGGGGATCACTTCTGATAGGAAATAAAAGTAGTTGTTCTCTCTACAAGCAATTATAAAGCCAATCTGCCTGTTTTAATGGAGAAGGCTAGAAGTACAAAACAGGGAGATCAGCATGATCTTAAACATGTTTTTGGCTGCTTCTACACTATGAGACACATATTATTGGCCAAGGAAATTACTGTAGTTATCTATTTTTATCACTGCATTTTTAAAACATACATAGAACAAGATACTCCTTTTTAGGAGAACAGTGACTAAACCAAAATAAACAAATTAGTGTGTGGTGTGAGCAAGGGTGGTGGAAACAGGCCGTTTGTGGGTGTTCTGCATGTCAAGACCTATTATTTCATTTCAGTGACCAGACACACAGCTTTTTCATGTCCTGGACATTTGTGATTTATTATCTCCTCAGCACCAACTGAAGATATGTTCTCCTCTCATGGCAATTGCCAGTGAATCAAATCCTTTTTCCCTCGAGCAAAGGGAACTGAAACAGGCAGACCAAATGAGCTAGACTTTACTTACAGGTGAGAGATGTCAATCAAAAGGAAACTGGCAGTCAGTAAACAATCTGCTTTCCTAGTTAAGTGTTTGCCTGGCATGCAGAGCATACCACCTGCTCACTACCTGGCAACCTTTGGAAAAGCAAAAGCCAAGTATAAATGCTATGAATTCTTAGCTCTGAAATAGCATACACTGACTCTAAATCAGTGAACAACTAGACAATAACGTTATTAGAAACTACCTATGCTTCTAAAAGATACAGGGTTTGGTTTTTTCCCAGAATAGAGGAAGGAGCTCTGGGTGGCCCAAATTTAGACATTCCCAGAATCAGCAGAGCCATCTGGCCAGAAGCCTGAGGCTAGGATCACCTGCAAGGAATTGTGGTCAGTGGGATGCCAACCACATTCTCATTACAGGAATCAGAAGCATTTCTCAGGCCATGTCTGAGTCTGAGTGTGCATGCACACTTTAGAAGAGGAAGGAGTAAATCTTACAGGAAAGGGTGTTGTCACACTTAAGGAGTTTGTCTGGGTCGGTCTTTTACATGAGATCTGTGAAATATTTTTGCCATACAGTTCCTGGAATCAAGAGCAGGATGCCCTAGCAGCAAGACTTAACAAGCTGCTTAACCTGGTAGTATACTTTTCTAAGCTTTCTAGAAATATTAGTGGTAACATTCCCCAAACACATTTTCCTAGCCATGGAACAGTGGTGATGAAGAACTGGCTTCTTGAAAGTTATACCACTGTTTAGCTGTTCTCCATTTCAGTTTTCTGTTCACTCCCACCAATCTACTACAATAATAATATAGGAAAAGAAACTAAATCTGGACTTCTCAGGAAGTCATTTGGATATGGGCACTTTCCAGACCATGTTAATGTCATTGAGATAATAAAAATGCTGCATTCAAACTACTGATGTTCTTGACCTGTGCTGGATAAATACAGAGATTTGAAGTCTTCTGGATGATACAAATTGATTAATTTAAATATTTCCTATTCTACTTGAAGTCTACAAATGCCTTCTTAGAGGAAGATGCCAATGTTGCAAACACATTCCAGACAGTTATTCTACAGCATGGATGCACTAGGAATCATTCCAACCCCAGAGTAAAGTACTGGACACAAACACTGATGATGACTCAAAACCTCACTGACTAGTGATTTTAAATCATCAGAAGCTTGGAAAAACAGGATGTCACTTGTGGGAGAAAAACAGTGGCATTTCTATCTACATGCACAGACATGCTCTCCCTCGCTCCTCCCCAGCACAGCATAAATGAACACATGATGGGGTGAGTTTGTTTACCTCAGTCTGGTAGGCATCATATAGGAATCCTATTCCACTTGAATAGAACTGGCATCTTTTGTTATACAGAGGTCTGGGTTCCTGTAAAGAGAAAAACAGTCAAAAAAGTGATTGGTTTGGAGGAAGTGGAAGGCACTATGTCCATGTCCCTATGCACATGCTTACAGCTCTGTGGAAGCAATGCAGTCACTTGGGTAAAAGGCTCACACCCCCTGTGTTGGCTTTCTTTCTGGGATGGCTCTCCTCAGGGTTACATTATCCATCATCACTCCACCACTAAGCTATGTGAGTATCATCTGTTTTTCTCTAAAAGGCATCACCTCTGGCATTTAACCACTTGACATCATTTAACCACACTCAACGTCAAATAGTACTGCTCTGAGAATGGTCCAGTCATTCTTTGTCCTGGTGCAGTTTCTTACCTAAGAACCAAGATTTTGCAGGTTGTTTTCAAGATATGGGACTTTCTTTTTCAAAAATTTCAACAATGTCCATGGTGAGAACAAAGTAAAATAGATAATAGTTTGAGTATTCCACTTATAACACACATTTCAAACCCCAGAAGTAAAACAAAGAATAATTAAGAAATTAGGGCATAAAGAGAAAGCAATTTACATTGTTTGGTTTTGCCTTATTTTCTATTTATGCTGTTGCTAAATATGCATTCACTGCTCATATTTCATATTTTGCTTGTAACGGCTCCCACAAACTGATATAAAGGAAGAACACAATGAAATAACCTTGGCCAGATGGAAAATGTGTGCTTCTGACCTTGGCAAATAGCTACTTTGAAGCCTGGAGGGTGCATACCTCAGCAGTTTCAGGACTATACCATATTTGTTTTGGGAGGATTTGACAGCTTGAGTCCTCTGTGATCCAATGTTAATCCCAAAAGAGTGTTGGATTACTTATGTTTGAAAGAAAACCAAAAAAACCCACCAAGGCTTTTTCAACTTTCCATAACTTATCTAGTCCTAATCTGTGCCTTCAAAAGCATGAAGAGCTGGGATCCTATGTCGATCTGTTGGAAGGTAGGAGGGCTTTGCAGAGAGACCTGGAATGGTTGGATGAATGGGCACAGTCCAATAGGATGAAGTTTAATAAGTCCAAGTACCGAGTCCTGCATTTTGGCCACAATAACCCCCTGCAGCGTTATAGGCTGGGGACAGTGTGGCTGAACAGTGCTCAGGTGGAAAAGGACCTGGGGGTCCTGGTGTACAGCTGGCTGAACACGAGCCAGCAGTGTGCCCTGGTGCCCAAGAAGGCCAAGGGCATCCTGGCTGTGTCAGGAATGGTGTGGCCAGCAGGAGCAGGGAGCTCATTCCGCCCCTGTACTCAGCACTGGTGAGGTCCCACCTTGAGTGCTGTGTCCAGTTCTGGGCCCTCAGTTTGGGAAGGACTCTGAGACACCTGAGCACATCCAGAGGAGGCACCGAGGCTGGTGAGGGGCTTGGAACACAAACCCTGTGAGGAACGGCTGAGGAAGCTGGGGGTGTTTAGCCTGGAGAAAAGGAGACTCAGGGTGACCTTATCACTCTCTACAACTCCCTGAAAGGTGGCTGTAGTCAGGCGGGGGTCGGTCTCTGTCTCCAGGCAGCAACTGGCAGAACCAGAGGACGCAGACTTAAGCTGCAACAAGGGAAATACAGGTTGGATATTAGGAAAAAGTTTTTTATGGAAGGAGTGATAAAGTTCTGGAATTGTCAGCCCAGACATGGGGGAGTCACCATCCCTGGATGTGTTTAAAGAAAGACTGGATGTGCCATTCAGTGCCACGATTTAGTTGAGGTGTCAGGGCACAGGTTGGACTCAATGATCTTTGAGGTCTCTTCCAACCTAGTGATTCTGTGATTCTCTGGAAGCACTCAAGTGCTCATCACTCCTCATAAAGTCAGTCAGACGAGATCCAAGACAGAAGATGCAAACTCACTCTCTGCCATCCCCTCTTTCCATGCCAACTTACAAGCAAAGAACTATTTAAGTTGTTAGCAGAAATCTTCACTGATTAACTTACACTGCATTTTAAAGTTTTAAAATCCATCCAGGAATAACCCAGATTTTGCATAAAGATCTGCACTACTTCAGCTCACAGGCAGAGTATTCTCTGCTTGTTGGATAATGAAGTGTGAACTGTATAAATCTGCTGATCCAAAATACATAATTAGTTAAAATGCAGAGCTAGGCAGGAATGCAGAGAGATCAATGAATAAAGCTCCTCCATCAGCTTGTTTGCCTTTCTGATTACTCCAGCAAACTTAGGCAAGTTTGGACACCAACTTCCCGGGGTTAGAGAAAGGTTAGCTTCCTGCATCCAAAAATATTTATTTATACTACACAAGTGTAAGGAAAAAAAAACTTCAGTAACTCTTCTTCTCTAGAGGAATAGTAAATACCACATGAACAGCATGCCATGTCTTGAACTAGGTCAACATTTCTTCCACAGTCCTGGGAAAGCATTAGCCTTTAGCCATGACTTCCAGGGACAGATCTGGTTGGGAGGTCTAAGAGGATTGCAGTTCCTCTGCCAGAACAAGGAGCTGACAAAGAGAGGAGCTCTGCTGGACTTCATAGTTACAAACAAGGAAAGATTGCTCAGGGATGAGAAGGTCAAGCCAGCCTTGCCCCTAATGTTATGGTGGGGTTCAGAATCTGGAAAGGATGGACCAGGATTCCAGCTCTGGACTTGAAGAAAGGAGACTTTGCTTTACAGGACTGTATCCCATACGATTCTTCCAAACATATCACCGAATAAGCCAATGAGGCCCAGGAAAGTGGGTTAATATTCAGAGTTCATCTCCTCCAAACTGAGAAACAGTTCATCCCATCTGGCAGGAAACCAAGCAAAGGCAGCATGAGGCCTGTGTGGATAAACAAGGGGTTCCAGATGTAACTTGGGCATGAAAAGGAAGTCTATAAGAAGCACAATAAAGGGGAAATCACCAGGGAGGAAAATAGAAAAATTATATGAGCATGCACCGATGGGGTTAGGAAAGCCAAAGGTCTCTTGGAAATCAGTCCAGTAAGGGTTGTAAAGGGCAGGAAGAAGGGCTTCTATTGGGTGTTTTAGCAGCAAAGGAGAAATCGGGAAAATATGTGCACATTACTGAATAAGGCAGGCAACATAGTACAAAAACATGGTAAAGATCAAAGTATTCAGTGCCTTCTTTGCCTTGGTCTGCAGAGGAGACCATTGGGAAAAATTGGCATAAGAAAGAATTACTCTTGCTAAAGGGGGATCAGTTTAGAGCACATTTAAGCAGACTGCAGATACATCCTGTCTTCAAGGATGACAAGAAAGACAGTCAGGGGAACTACACAGTGATGGGAAGGGATGGAGCAAATAATCTTGGAAACAATTTCCAAACATCTCAAGGACATGAAGGCGATTTGGAATAGTCAGCATGGATTTACAAAAGGAGAGTCATGTCTGACCCACCTGTTGACCTTCTACAAGGATGTGACTGGCTTGGTGGATGAGTGGAGCTTCTTGCTCACCTGCTTCTGGATCTTTATCTTCACTAATCCCTCTGGCAGTCTCTCATTCTCACAGCTGATGAAATAAGGGCTAAATAATTGGACAGTGAGGTGGCATGCTGAGGTGACTGAAAGCTGGCAGAACTGCTGAGGTCAGTGCTGGAAGCAGTGACATGAAGTCCTGCTGGAGATGACTTAATAGTTGTCTACCCCAGGGGTCAATTCTAGGACAATATTGCATGAGCATCTCAATTACTGAACTGGGTGATGCGTAGAGTGCAGCCTCTGCTAGCTGGCAGATGATACAAAACTGGGATGAGTGACTGAAACACCACAGGACAGTGTCATTATTCAGAGAGACCTGGGCTGGAGAAATGACCCACAGGAACCTCAACAAGTTCAGTACAGGAAAATGTCAAATCCTGCACCCAGGGAGAAATAATCCCATACACGAGGAAAGAGTGGGGTCTGAGTGTCTGGAGAGCAGCTTTACAGAGAGTCCTGGTGGGTAGCAAGTTAAACATGAACAAGCAATGTGTCCTTGTGGCAAGAAAAGCCAGCACTATTTATGACTGCATTACAAAGAGCACCACCACCAGGCCCAGGAAGGTGATCCTTCTTCTTAACACTGGAGAGACACATCTGGAATATTGGGTAAAATGCTGGGCTTCCCAGCATGATAGAGACCACAGACATGGTCTGTGAATTAACAGACTGGAATATCTGTCACAAGAGAAGCAGAGTTGGGACTGTTCAGCCTAGACAAGAGAAGGTTCCCATGTACCTTATCAATATGGATCAATACTTGATGGGGAAGTGAAGAAGATGGAGACACATCTCTCTCAGTAATGTCCAGAAAAATGACAAGATGCAGTGGGCACAAACTGAAATATGGGAAATTCCATTTAAACATAAGAAGTAACCTTTTTTATTCTATGGGTGATTAAATACTGTAACAGGTTTCCCAGAGTGGTTGTGGAGTCTCCATCCTTGGAGATGCTCAAACTGGACACTCAAACTCGACACAGTTGTGAGCCACCTGTTCTACCTGACACTGCTCTAAGCACAGGTAGTTGGATAAGAAATCTCCAGAGGTTCTGCCCAGTCTCAGCAACTCGGATTCTGTGAAGAAGGTCAGAGTCTATGTCAAGCTATAAGCACACTAAAAAGTTCTCTCAAAGTATCATAGGTTATGAGTTTAGCACCTGGAGACAGATGCTCCCTGGCCTTACCTTTGGGGTATTCACACCTTACTACAGGCTGCTGATGAGTGACACCACCACATCACACTATGAGGCTGAGTCTGACCCTGAATGCTAAGATACTCCCCTCAGACACCTCTGTATGTTCTTAAAGACAACTGCCTTTGCATTTGCATCCACAATCATGGCAAACAAGTACCTTCTTTCATGCACCTAATTTTGAATAGCAAGCCTGCTGCACTAGTACAGCCAGTCTTCTGCATTCAGTCCGTTCTCTAAATGCATCCCTATGTGCAATCAAATAAATAAGTGATGATCAAGTGTACAAAAATAACAAAGATTATTGGCCTTGTCCAGAGACCTACAGAATTTAACACCTAAATAACACAGCTTTTAACTAAAGGA